GGGAGAGAGAGAGGAGACAGAAGAGGAGACACATGCATGCAGCAAGTTGTCTCCTTCCAGCCGCAAATGGAGACACTCAAGAAATGCTGCTACCAGCATCAGATTTAACCTGCAGCAGCAGCAGCAGCAGCAGCAGCAGCAACAGCAGCAGCAGCAGCAGCAGCAGCAGCAGCAACAGCAGCAGCAGGAGCAAATAGAATTGAAATCAGATTAAGAGTCTCTCTTAGTATATACATATCCGTTTATCTACTTGTATATAATGTATATATATGTATATATATATATATATTTATATTTATATATTTATTTATATATTTATTTATATATTTATTTATATATTTATTTGTTTATTTATATATTTATATATTTATATATTTATACAGACTTGTGTGTGTGTGGATCTGAGCTGGTTGAGAGGCGGGCGAGCCTAGCAGCAAACGCGGTGAGTCGTGCTGCAGTCAGCGGCTGCAGCAGCTGCTGCTGCTGCTGCTGCTGTTGCTGCTGCTGCTGCTGCTGCTGCTGTGCGGGGTGGGCTGAGGCTGCTGCTGAGGAGACAGGCTGCAGCCACTGCAGCAGCAGAATCGCGATGTCTCTGATTTATAAAGGAGGAGACAAAAAGACAGCAGCAGCAGCAACAGCAGCAGCAGCAGCAGCAGACAGCAGCAGCAGCAGCAGACAGCAGCAGCAGCAGCAGGAGACAACGCAATGCAGCAACAAACAAATAATATAGTAGGAGATGAAAGGCTTCAGCTGCTGCTGCTACTGCTGCTGCAACTGTTGTTGCTGCTGCTGCTACCGCTGCTGCTACCGCTGCTGCTGCTACTGCTGCTGCTACTACTGCTGCTGCTGCTACTGCTACTGCTGCTGCTGCTGCTGCAGCTGCGAGAGACGACGACCCGCATGTATAGTGTATTGGGGTGTACATGCATGCGTGGGTTGCTGCTGCAGCAGCTGCAGCAGCTGCAGCAGCAGCTGCAGCAGCGGGGTGTATACGCACCTCAACCAGTAGTGAAGCCTTGTTGCTGCTGCCATTCTGCTGTCTCCGATTGTCTCTCCTATAAACTCCAGCAATCCTTTTGCTGCTAGCGGCTGCAGCAGCTGCGATCGCTGCAGCAGCAGCCGCAGCAGCACCAAACGAAAACCCCAAGCACGATCCTCTTCCTCTACTCTTGCTGCTGCTGCTGCTGCTGCCGCTGCTCCTGCTGCTTCTCCTGCTGCTGCTGCTGCTGCTGCTGCTGTTCTTCGCGGGCTGCAGCAACGCACAAGGGCCTCCAACAGAGGAGGCAGCCCCATAGACTTCTCTGCAGCAGCAGCAGCAGGAGCAGCAGCAGCAGCAGCAGCAGCAGGTGCTGCTGTTCCTGCTGCTGCTGCAGCAATACCCCACTCCTGACCGAAGCGGATGCAGCAGCAATCAACCAGCCGCAGCAGCAGCTGCAGCAGACGCGAGCGGCCAACAGCATCGTTGTAGGGGGGCCCCTGCAGCAGCACCGCATGCACAGCAGCAGCAGCAGCAAGGAGACAACATGTAGCAGTCATTCTTCTGTCGCTGCTGCTGCTGCTGTCTCCTCCACCCTATTTCTCAATCCTTTATTGCAGCAACAGCATCAGCAGCAGCAGCAGCTGCTGCTGCTGCTGCTGCTGTTGCTGCTGCTGCTCCTGCTGCTACAGGAAGAGCTCTTATCCCTACTGGAGGTGGGAACTACAGCAGCAGCTGCTGCTGCAGGTGCAGCAACAACAACAGCAGCAGCTGCTGCTGCTACTGTTACTGCTGTTGCTGCTGCTGTTGCTGTTGCTGCTGCTGCTGCTGCTGCTGTTGCTGCTGCTTCTGCTGCTGCTGCATGCTTACGTTTGGCATTATTTCTTCTTCATGGGGGTTATACCGTCCGGATAGAAGCTCCTCCACTTGCTGCTGCGG